GCAGCATATACGATACTCTCCTTCTACTCTCCCCCTGTAATCCCCTTGTTCTCCCTGTTCTGCAGGTAGCCCTGCTTGTGAACTCCTTACTTTCTCATGGTGCATCGTGGCACGTTATAGACGACTACGAGTGGATGCTCGTGAGGAAATCGATCCGTGCGGATATCAATATTAACCCCCCATTGCGGAGATAATTATTTTCCTCGCTGGAAACTTCACTTATTGAAAACGGATTAATAATGAAGATTTAGAATGTAAAGAATTGATATAATTTCTTGCCTTTTCTCTCTTTAATTTGAAATCACGTTTTTTGGGATCATTATTAATTAATTCGGAAATAGCCATCTGAGACCATTTTTATCATTTTAGCCCAGGTGAAAAAATATGAATTGTAAAATATTGTTTTGTATAGATTGTTTAACATAATTTTTTTTAATAATTGTCCTTTACAAATCTTTAATATCTCATCGAAAAGCTGTAATAAAAAAATGTTATGTTAATCAAAAGTTATTTTTAAGAAGTACTGTCATAATAAGCTACTTAATGTATTTATTCCATTTAATATTTATTTGGCTTTTAACTTTTTTTTTTTTCAGAAAAATTGCTTACATTTCGAGAATCGTTTACGTAAAAAAAAATCAAGAAACAATTCCCAGATTAATTTTTTTAGCCAACGAGACTATTAAATGTTCTCGTAATTAATTTTCATGTACTGATATTTCCGAAATTCATCACGTGAATTTAAAGGTAAAATTTTAATAGATGAAATTATACTGTATATGAAAAACACACATTGTTATGTACAATTAATGCATTAATTTAATCAAGCATTATATTCTAAATTGCCCCGTTTTAATTAATACAAACATGTTATATAAATACATACGTGTTATACTCATCACGTGATCTCGACATTTAATTCTCTTGATATACTGCGGCCAAGTCCAAATATATTTTATTAAATGTCAACCAGCGTGTCTGCGACATTTCGTGTCGTCGGGTCGCGAGGAAAATATCTCACGATAACTCGAACGGCTTTATACTCGGAAGACTGTTTCCTAAGTTTCTGTGGGAACAGAGCAGGTAGAGCAGCGTGCAATAGCACCGACTTACTCTTGTTCCTGTGGGATATCCGCCGCCAATGGCCAGAACTATTCCGAGAAATTAGTCGGAAAATTAATGCCTGTAGTTTCGTGAAAACGAGACGCGTTCGCAACTCGCCTCCTCTCCAAAGCTAATGGATAGCGAGAAGGGACTAAACTTCCAGCGCTAATTAATTACAATTATATGTACGTGTATATGAGTAAGATAAGAATTACACGTAATGTGTTTAAACTCGAGCACTTTAAGCATTTTCCACATTTACTTCTTGACAAAATAAATTTTTCTCTTAAATAAAAAAATATACTAATCTCTAAATTTAAATTTGAGCTATATCTATTTTTAATTTATTTTCTGTAATGTGTAAGATAAAGAATCATAAATCTTTTAGAGGTGCTTCTTCTCGCGAACAAATCGAATTTCCTCGGAGATATCCTCGCTGTAGGATGCATTGAGAAAAGCGGATGTCTTCCGCGAAACGGAAGCTGCATCGGGAATTGCGCTTTCAGACAAGCCCGGTTTTCAGTGAAGAAAAAAGATGGACGAAACGAGCGAAAGAGCGAGTCCACGGGGAGTCATTCGAAAGAAAGGAGCGAGCGAGGGCAACAACGTTGCCGAAGTGGATAAGTCCTTGCATTGGTCAGACCGAGTCGAAAAGAAATTTAGAAGGAGAAAGAAGAGAGAAAGAAAAATGTCGAGCTCTCTCGCGAGTCAAGGTAAAGATAATAAGAAAGTTTCTATACCGGCTTCTCCGTGGAAAGCACGAAGCACGGAGTTACGTCGAGGAAACCTATGGGTTTCAGAAATTTCAGTAAAAGGGAAGGCAATTCGGAAAGCGGCGGTATCACAGTATACATATTCTCTTTATGAAGTTCGCAAGCAGGAAAAAACGAAAAGCATAATAAACGAGCCGTCGGCGAGCTCGACTTTCATGCTCGGCTCATCCTCGTCTTCTTTTTTCCACGCCTTTTTTCTTCTCCCTTTTCTCCTTTCTCTACGATGCTTCGAAACCGGAGGACCGCACCGACGTCTCCTCCTCTCCCTCGAGCTTTAATCTCTCATATTTAATTCCCGATATTACTATGCTTATACTGCGAAAACGAACGGTGTGATGCATCATAATATTTTAATTTGTTAAAACTTAACGTCTGAAAATTACTTGTTATACAAAGTTTTAAACAAAGTCATAAACAAAGTGTGCTTTCAAATGTTTATATAACTCACTGTCTAACGAAAATGCGTGTATTCCTTATTTACCAAATGTCTTATTTACAAAAGCAGAGAAAAAGCGAATGAAACTTTACATAATACAAGCTTAAAATCAGCCGAAATGAATGATAATTCGCGTTACCGATCGTTACTTTCATTATTTTCGTTTAATAAAAACGTATGTGTATTGTTGATTAACAAAGAGTTATTGTTCCGCCGGCAAATTAACGCTAAGCTCGTTACCTTCTTTTAAGCACTTTCACCGATCGCCTCTTTATAGTTCGCGTCCGCTTTATCGTCACGTTCCCCTTAATGTGCCACGTCGCTACCTGTGTTCGCGAGACGGGTGCATGGCGAGATGCTGATTAAAACCGTTAACAATACCTCGCCTCAACGAAGAATCGAGTTACGAGCTTTACGAGCGACGTATTATTCTCGCTGGTCATTGTACGAGTGGCCGATAATACTCTTACGCCCGTGTAATTAGCAAAAACGAACCGGAATCCGTGACGTACTTCCACTTTTAATTAGACTCCAACTACCACTAGTCAAATGCGATCGATAATCGAGACACCCGCGGTATCTCTGCCGATTCACGTGCAGACATCATGGATTCATATTATACGTTGGAAGCTACGCTCAATTTTAATGAACCAAAATGTGCGGCAAGACATTTAAATAAAAAAAAAAGCTTGATTTCAGAATTGATTTCAGACAAATATTTTTTAATGATAAATTTTAAAATATTTTTTGACAAACAAACGTGTTAACACATCGGCATTCAACTACATCTACCTTCCTCTTTATCGTTACACGAAGTGTGTACCTTTAATTTACGACTGTAACTTCAAAAGGATAAACTCAACATGGAAAAATAATAATAATAAAAAAAAATAATAATATACACGCGAACGTGTACCATGTGATGAAATTATTTATCGGAAGATATCGGCCGCCCGCACACCTTGCCGGAAACCTCCGCGTCGCGCGTCGTCGAGGGACCCAAATTAGTCTCGGTCTCCGCGTCCGTTGGTGGGACTTAAAAGCGGAATCGGCCGGACGATAACCGGTTGTGGCGCAATGTCCAGCCTTAGTCAGGTGTGTCCGACGACGAACGTACTAAATCTACGAGAGTTACGCGGCCGCCGCGCGAATAAATGCTCCCGCGGAGATTCATGGCGCAATTCACGTTGACTTGATATCGTTCGGGTGAACGAAGAGGACGGGGACGCGGACAAGGAATTATTCCGGGCCCCCGTGAATACCGAATCGGTTGCCATTCTCGTCTCGAGTGGAGAACGACTGGGCCGTGTCGATTGTACAGGTATCAGTTGTGTTGCGTTGTAACGCCGCACGGTATAGCTGTGTCCATGAACGGCTTTGCCGTGGATATCGATGCCTCTCGGGATCGATGCACAGAGAGAGTTTACCATTCGCGGAACATTTTCCATGGACATGAGCAATAAACGAGGAATATCGAACGGAAGTGAGTGAACGCGCCAGGGACTCAGCTCACTGTAATGATCGAGGCCTTTTGAAAAGTGTAATAGCCGTTGCTGTTGGTTGACTGTAGCTATATTGCGAGTATATATATATATACAGTATATAGATGAATAGATGAATTCATTTATTCTCTTTGAGAGACATAAGATATATGACTCGCGTGAGATGAAGAGTTATGATATTTTTTTGTACACACAATCTTTTTTGTCTTTTTTATTCTTCCTGCTTTGACTCTCGGCAGATTATAAATTCTGTTAAGCGTTTGCTTAACCATGGGATATATGTACGATTCGTAAAAAAAATTTATTAAAGTCACAAGATTGATGTATACATATATGTAATCAAATGATTAATCAATCATTTTGAAAAGCTAACTTTAAAAAGTTTATGCCTTTTTATATTGTGTACTAATACTAATTATATCAATCTGGAGACACGGTAGTGTCTTGACACTAAGACAAGCGCAGCAACATTATTCTTTTACGATGATTTTTTACGCCACAGAAATTCTTCTGTACTGAAGATTAAGTGCGATTAAAATAAATTTGCAATACTGACTTTGCAAAACGTAACATTCGTTTCCAAACAACAACGGTGCTCGAAATAAAATTGGGAAAGTTTTTCTTGGAATATTTTTCGAAAATTTTCGCAATTTAGATAAGAACCAGCAGAAGCAAGCTGTAAATACGAGATTGGGGACAATAAAACCGCTGAACTTTTCAGAATTTAAGTCGAGAGCGGCGGTCGCAGAGAGCGAAAGATATATATCTGCCGACGCGAGAGAGATCAGCATAACGAGATAAAAGCAGAGAGTTATCCTGGACGATTAAGGGGAACGAATCCAGAATGTCGAGGTTGTCCCCTCTTACCTTCCCCCTTCTTGGAAAGGGTGCGACAACCGGTTAACGCGCCGATAAAGGGAGAAACATCGCAATGGACGCGAGAGATCGATACTCGACTCATAAGTCGAGGGCCCCATCGGGTGTCGGTCGCGACAGTGTCCCAGAACTACAACCCATCCGCTGAGGAATATTGATATACAGGGTGTCCCGCCATTCGCCGAACTTCCGTTCGATATCACCCCAATGTTCAAAAGAATATTTTGATTCTATTCTTATCAGAAATGCTGGGCATCTATCGTCGGAATATTTTTATGACATAAAGTATAAGTAAAGTATAATAATTACCTCTGAAGAGGCAAATTTTATCCCACAGTTGCCGTTCAATAAATCAGCATTTACATGAAGTACATACCTGAAACAAAAAAGAAAATATGTTTTATGATTATTTCTTATTCAAGCACTTTTGCTGTTACATATATTATACAAACATAATTAATATACGTTATTAATTAATTTAGTTTATTTTCCAATACACAATTATACAGCTTTCTTTTATAAATGTGAATTAATAAAATAAATTAATGGGGGATGAATTATTTTCAATCGACTCAATCTGTTCTAATAAAGACTCCAAATTGATCGAGGAATTAACGCGGTATTTTCAGACACCCCATATGTCTAAAACGCGATATATCGATGGCCAATCGATGAATTACATCGGCACGCCGTTAACTACTAGCGCCGAGCTGACTCGGACTTGCTCCAGGTTGATACGATCGATTCGATTTGCGAGCACCCTTCGTCCACTTCTTCTTCTTCTTTGTGGAACACCCGGAGGCTGGTCGATCGTCGATAAACTTCCCGGGGAATCTTGGAAATCTTCGTGGTCTCGGTAGAAAACAGAGGGGATGCAGAGAGAAGTAGAAAGGAAGTCGGGAAGGGGAGAAGTTAGTGTCCTGCACAAGGATGACACGGGAAACGATGCGCCCGAGGGACGAATACACGAGATACGAGCCGTGAGCAACCTGTAACCGCCTAGAAATTTATTTCACGAAAGGAATGGCAAATCGAGACCGTGAATTTTCCAGTTTACTTCTTCAATCTCTTACAGGTTTCTCTTAGGCAGAGCCTCTGATCTTCTTCTCTTTCTCTTTTTCTCTCCGTGTCTCTTTAGGTCTTTTAACCGAAAAGCTTTTATGTGGAAGCCGTGTTTAGATGGATCTTTTGATTCCTCGAACACAAAGGGAAAAGCATTATTGCGTTACGCACTCGTCATTCTAGAATTCGGGAATCATTCCAATGTCTGTTTAAATGCAATATTAAACAGTAAATTGAGAAGAATTGTAAGATGTCACTGTCTTGATTTTCCTACGTTTTTTTAAAATAAAATCATCTAAACTATATTTGTCACACTCGTAGATCTTGATATAAAAATTTTCATACAATAAACTTTCTAGTTTGCTTCTTTTCACTTTTTACAAGTCAGAGCCACTATCGCATCAAATGTATCATGTATACGGTGAAAATGCGGGAGACAGGTTTTGTTCCTCGAGAAATCGCTCGGACGCACGCGACCGCGTTCCCATCTCGCCTCGGATCGGTGGCTCTTGAAATTTTACGACGTAACAGTGTTACGAGCACCCTCCTCAGGGAAATCTCTGAATATGCCGCGTCCCGTTACGATAACTCGCAAGTGAGCCCGCCCCTCGCTAGAGCCATAACGCCGGAAGTGAATGGTAAAGGTACCACAATGAAAACTGATCGAACTCAGAATTGGAAAAGTGTTCACGCCACGTATGTTTATATAATATCAAACGTTATTGTATATACGCAACGTATTTTAAACAAGCACAACCACTGTAATTATTTCTCTTAAATAGAAGATTTATGGTAATTAAAATAAAATAAAATAGTAATATTAAAGACCTTAGATTTTTAAAATTAATTTCTAATTAAATACTATAGTTAAATTTCTTTATAGATAATCAGAATATTAGGACATAAATAATTAAACAGAGAGAGATATATATTTTACTTGTAATATTACAGATTACAATTTTTGGAATTTGGAAATTGGAATATTCACGTAATTAGTTTATAATTAAATTTAACGATCAATACTAGGCAATTACGTCATATTTAATCGCTGTGATACGTCGCAATCGTTTATATCGAGATTTCTGCACTTATCAAGGTGTTGCACCACTCGATGATGACATGTTTCTCACGATAATGCAAGTTCATTCACCATACCCGTAATGGGTTTACCCTGTTCGCTCTGTTAGTGCCCGTGCAGTCTTATCAACATCAAAGTTTACTTAGGTGATGTACTCTAAATTGATGGGAAAGCGCCGGCCGGGAAAATATTGTTCCTCATTGGTGAACGCACGCGGGTGAAAGCAGCAGAAAATAATAAAAATGGTAGTCTACTCAACGATCTAGCAAGCGGATAACAAATTCGCGAATTCCCTGTCAGGAACGTCCGCTGTTACGGATAATAAGTCGAGGATGATGGCGCTCCATTTTCCGCGTCTCCTCCGTTATATGTAAACATTTTTCCGCAACATATACTTTACATCATTGCTATCCTTTTTCGCGAAATCCTCGCGAAAAGAGAGACGCCTTTTACTCACAAGTCTCACAACTAACCACCCAAAAATATTTCTATCAACATCCTCGACTTTCTTGTACAAAATAATGATTGTAAAATCGTCAAAGAATCTGCTATTACAATAGTTAAATTAAATGTTTATTTAAACCGAGTACCATTGTGTCAAAATACATTTAAATAAAGACATTATATCATTTATGTAATATTTTTATTTAAGTCAGATAATGACTTAAAAGACGATTCAACTTTGCATCTCAAATGGAAACTTTTTTTTTTTTATTTGGTAATCATGCTGGCTCTGTTCGTTCGATATTCCTGGAAGAAGCTTAGCAGGCTTTTTCGCGCAAGAATTCTGCTGCGGAAGGAATCATCGTGTAACAAACGATTCTATTATTGGGGTCTGCGCTGCGCGATGCATCTCGGTGACGACGGGGCGTGAGAAACGGGATGTACTTTCCCGTGGATCCAGGGATATATAGGTACTTGAATCGCGTCGTCGTCGTCGTCGTCGTCGTCGTCGCCCAGAAATGAATACGTGACGGTGCGGTAATGCACTCTCCGACATTTGGAAGAGGAAGAGAGAATCCAGGAGCAAATTAGACGGTGGATGAGAATGTGACAAGATGCGATGGGAAGAACGCAAATCTGACATGTGGCCAAGAAGGAAGAAAAAGAAGGAAGTAAAAGAAGTGCTTTAGTACGTAATGTCGCTTTTCGACGCTAAACCGGGAATTAAAGCTGCAAGCTGTAACTTGTCTGGAGAGATGATAAATGATGTATGCCGCGTCTCGTGCAATGCGGCGCTTCAAGCAAAAAAAAAATTCCATTTGAATCTCACGAGTTGAGCTTCCACTTTGGGATTTGCACCGTTAATGTGTAGAAAATTTCTTCCCTTTAAAATTTTACATTCTCACTTATTACTGAAATTGTATATATATTTGTTGATTTCTATTTGTTTTATATTACTATTTGTAAATTAAATTAGAAGATATTTTCGTTGTTAACTCTGCCGCTTCCTTTACAGCTCGTTACAGAAACGTGGATCATGCAATCATTACGATGTGATATAACAAGAGATACGTAAAACCTCGACCAAAAACGCTGCCACATACTGTCGTCGTAATTTACGTATACCTTTTTTCTCACGGCAGAATAATATTATTGCATCCGAGTTGCATCAAAACTACGCACAACATAATCCATTCTCCGACGCACGCGATCGCGTTGTGCTTTACACGCAATCTGAATTTCACATTTATCGCACGTCATGCATTTTATAAATATTTGCAGTAAAAAAAATTCTCAACTTTAAATAAATTCGATTAAATGTTAAATCACTGTTAGACGTCAGGTGCAATGGTAACCCAACCCCTGAGTTAAACAACATTTTATTATTTTTAACTTGCATGTGTGTAAAAATGTAAATCAATTCGTTTCTACAGTTTCAAAGTAAACAATGTCTATATTAACGTATACACCTAGTAAATAATACACTAAATTTTAGTCAAATTTAATACATTTTCTCAAACTAAACTGTTCCATTGTTTTAATTTAGTTAAATTAACAACGTATTGAATACGAGCAATGACAATCAATAGAAATGAATAAAAGTAATTCAAATTGGGTATAACTTGACATTATAAACGCATAAAGTTTATCCTAAATGCTTGTCTCTCTATATATAACTCAATGTACATTACCAGTATTTACTAGTATCTCTTCCTGTAACTTAATATACATTATCAGTTTCACGTAAAATGTAAATAATTTTCTACGTATTAAAAAATAATACATATTATGAAATAACTATGCTTGTCTTACTTCAATGCAGTCTAAATATCATGAATAATATACAATCGCTAGAACCTTTGACATACGTCACAAAGAAGCGAAGCAGTTTGTCGGCTGAAAACGATTGTGCGTGACGCACAGTTAAGAAATGAAGGAGGAAAGGAAGAAGGAACTTGCGCTTCTTGAGATATACTTGATGCGATTGATGCACTTCCCCGTATGCGTCATTGCATTCGTATGAGACGTTATTGACCGCGGGGTATAATAGTTGTCATGCTTTATGATCCGTGTATACTTTGTTCCGTCATTCGCGTTATGATTCGTGATACAGATAGCTTTCGCCTTTCGTACGACTGTCTAGACACTGCGATGCGTGTACGTTCCGCCATATTTCCTCAAAACAGTCCTCACGAGAGAGTGAAGCACTTCCTATTTCGACTTAGCGAATAATTTTTACTACCATCGTGATTTAAATCTTTTTTCCTCTTTCATATTTTGATCAAGGTAAGCAAGAGGTGTCCGTTGCGGAATAATGCAAGTATGGCAGAAAGATTAATGCAAGAGACGATATATCTATGGAAAATGAAGCCAAATGAAAACAGGAGGCCGCGATGATTAAGATTAATTGGATTCGATATACCTGAGAAAATACTAACGAATAGGTATATAATCCGGAGTTACATCGGATCGAACAATGTAGCGTTCTTCGGAAGTTTACGTCAAGATTAGATCGCGACACGCCGCTCACTTAGATATCTGGTGTTTAAATACTTGACAGTACTAGTCGTGCCATGCCAATTACTCGATGCATTTGCATAAATGAAAAGCGCCGATCTCTGAGGAAATGTATACGCACGCACCTTTTTCTTCGTTGGAAGCGGACGCGACTTCAGTATCTCGTCATGAAACACCAATGAACGTTTACCACTAGGATTTTTTATTTCCGCAAGAGAACATTCAGCTCAGATTAAAATCCTGTTACTCCTCCTGTCGACTCCCGCAGAATATGT